GGCTTCAGGTGTTTGACTACCGTTGCCTTCATTGTATAGGCCGTATTCCATGGTGTCACTACGTAAGTAGCCCAGACGTCAGGTGTAGAGTTTTAGGGAGAAGAGGTAAGTCTGTTGACGATGTTGTGAACCTTCATCGACTGAGATGGCTGACTGGGACGTGTGTTGCGTATACCTAGTCACCGTCTGCCTCGTCACACAGTGTTAGCCGAATTAGGTTCAGGCTGGTAAAAGGGTCCGGTAGTGGGGCTACAGATTAAAACGTGACACCAATGTATAAAGTCGTTGACTGTTGGTTTGAGCCATGTGGTGGGATGCAGACTAGATGGTTGAGGTCCGCAGCACAAGGGAAACCAGTGGTTGAAGACTGACTCTAGGTGATGACATGGCTAAGAACCGATGTCAGTGGTGTAGATGTATACACACATTATCCTCATCTTAACGACGCTATACCGAATCTCAGAATTTCCTCATTCTTCTCCGGAAATTTGAAACAGTCCCTTTTGTGAATTTCGATAGCGTAATTAGAGGACGAAGTTTATCTGAACAATGTGTTTTTGCGCAATGCATTTTGAACAATCTGATCATACATTTACTTATCAAGTCAATATATATTAAACCGAGGACTGGGGGATGGGGGTGGGGGTGGGGAAACAAATACAACAAACAGGAAGTGACATAGTTGATCGTAATCTTGGTAAGAAAACAAAGTTTACGAAGGTAGATGTAGTGTAAGAACAAACTGTTTTTGTACACATAAAGGTGGTTTAAATTTGTGTATGGCTACGGCTTCCCCAAATTTCAGAGTACGTCCCTGACTGTTTCGATATGTTTAGCTATAGATGGAGAGGATCGTCTCCCACCAGCGTTTACCACTGTTTCACACCATTTGTTTTTGAAGCCATTTAGTCACATGTTCTCCCACCCTCAACTGCATGACTCGATTACTCCTCCCTATGTATGTGTGACCACACACACATGTAAATTGGTGAACACAATGGGGTGTGACGTAATCACTGATGTAGTGTTTAGGTTTTTAGTGAAGCATGTGTTTTGTTTTCTCCACAATGGTAAGATTCGCCCCGTAATACGTTTTCTTAATGGCTGATGTCAGCCTACGTCTCAAAATGATAATATTAAGCTCCCATCTGTGATACGGACATTTTTCTTAAGGGACCGTGTATAGAGTTGGCTTTGGTGCTACTTGACCGCTACAACGGTTCATAAACTTCGTCGGATATCCACTTTCCATAAGTGCTTTGGTCAGCAATTTGATGTCTTCATCCATCGCATCTGGTGTACTGATATGATAGATCCTATTAAACAGGCATTTTACTAGAGTTCGCTTGTATTGGATTAGACAAAAACTGTGGAAATCCAGGTATTGTTCTGTTTATGTAGGCTTTCTGTAAACTGACCGTCTTATTGAACCATCTTCTCATCGACTGAGGAGTATATCTAGGAATGGCAGTTGATTATTATTCTCTTTCTCACAAGTCAGGCTGATGTGTTTGTATGGCGTTAAGTCTATTTAGTAGACAAAGCATATCCTCATGCCTCTCACAAACCACTATGATGTCATCAACATATCTCTTGTAAAGAGGAACTTTAGCGATGAGATCACCAGCCAGATTTTCGATATATAACATAAATATCAGCTAGTAGTGGTCCTAATGGACTATCCATAGCTACACCGTCAACTTGTCGAAAGCGTTCACCTTCAAATGTGAAGTGGACTTTGTCTGTACACAGCAATAATAACTCCTTCAGAAAGGTTGGAGGAGTTATTATTGCTGTGTACCGACAAAGTCCACTTCACATTTGAAGGCAACGGTAGTCAAACACCTGAAGCCAGCCTTCTCATGTCTTCCACCTTATCCTACTCTTGCATCTCACTACTTTTTTACTTGATGTAGTGATATGAGGTGTGTTAACTTGGACCGTTATGCAGTAATGCGTTGCCCTATGTTGATTTGGAAGGATGGATGGATCGGTATTTCATATTCAAGCTGAGATTCAGTCAGCAACCAGTCCATATGGGCTGATACAACTCCTTAAGTACTTGAAGTGGTCAACGCATCCCATTGCTTCTTTCCTTGTCTTTAAATTGGGAGTTGGTACACGTTAGTCCTGTAGCATCATTATAGGTTCAAAAAATATGCTGAACACAGATTTATGCTCGAGGTCTTCAGAAGACAATGGACTTTGTCACCATCTTCCTATAACAGGACAATATCGTCTACGTATTAGAAGTCTTATAGGTACTCCTAGGAGTAGGTCAATGCTTGTAAAGTCGCAGGTGTTTAAGGTTGTCAATTACTGCGTCCATAAGAAATTTAAGAAGTAATGACAGTGGGCATCCTTGGCGGACACTTGGTTTCGGTTTTTCATATGAGAACTCTCCTCAAACCGTAGTACGGCAACGTAAGTTTGAGTAGAGAGCCTTGATTGGCATAACACATTGGTTCAGAACTCTCTGCACAGTTGGACATTGCCGCAAAACCCGCCAGTGGACCTGGGAATGCAACGAAAAAGGCCTTACTAATAATCTAGAGTTTTGAATGAAGATGGCATATAATCTATTTGCAGTATTTAAGTTATTACTACGTGTATGAGCTATAAACAATTTCAAAAACCCTTGGTGCTCTTCATATGTCACCAATTGTAAATGAAGGTGAAAAAACATGTCATTCAACTTAATGGTGTAACTAGGTCAGTTTGTTAAAAGTGACTCAATTAAAGAAATTATATTTGTTGTATACTTGAAATTTGTGTTATCAAGAAGCTTTCCAACTTGTCTTGTATGTTTGAAAGAGTTTACAGTCAAAGTACCTACATCTGAATTTCCCGTTGTAAAATTGACGTGGAACGTACTTAGGAGGCAACACAACCATTGGGCTATCATCGACTTCGAATCTATGTGCTACATTTTTCGTTATGGACCGGTATGACCGACTATAATTGTAGTCGGTTTAGGGTGTCAGTAGCTTAGGTGTTATATAGTCAGCAATTACGTTACAGGTTCAAATCCTCTTCATGGGCTTTAACCTGGATAACTCTCACACAATAGGATGTAACACGTATGTACGAGGTTTTTGCGTTACAGTAGTGTAATCATCTACACAGGAGAGTACATTTTCACATATTTACTCCAATAAGCACAAGTTTTATGGTGACGAATATGTTATCTGATGCAATAAAGGTATTAACTAAACTTTATTGAAATATATCAAATTACAGTTTATCTCACTTATCCAGCCAGTGTCAGTATGGCAACAAGATGCTATGTTCCACGGTCCAAGTGATCACACATCTAGGTGGAATTCGCCAAGGTGAATGGTAGTGGAACATGATAAAAAGTAATCAGAAGTAGTAGAGAATCGTAAAATGAGAATGGATAAAACAATGACGAAATTTGGTATGACGAATAAGATGAAGGTAATGTGCGGACGTATATGGATTACTGACATTTCTGAAACAGGCAAATCACTTGGTGTTTTCAACCACCGATTTTGCTTGTCATGCGGACCCATAACAGAGAAGTGTACATTTGCCTACACGGCTGAAAACAGCAGTTATACATTATGGGCCGATTCCACATTTTAATCTGATTGTTTGTGATCTTTTCCAGCTTGAGCTTGCTTCAGCTAATGTTACACGATGACACAGATGGGGGCTAGTTTTGTGTGTAACAAATGTTCCAGTCAACTCATTCGATAGTTCACAATGCCACCAACTAATTTTGCTCTTGTACCTAAATCTCTACGCCTGACTTCACGTTATTTACGTGATAGCACCTCAACACACCCTGTGCTACGAAGGTAACGAATATCGAACGCCCGAAGCCTTTTTAAGTCTTTCACTTTTAATACCCATGTCGTATGGTCATAAAGTGAAATAGAATGAACTTCGCATTACACTGGACTATCAAGAGGCAATCGTATATCCTCCCGGTCTCGACGGATTTCGGCAAAAGCCGGGCTTAATTTCAACTGATGACACCACGAGTAGATTGTTGAACAGTAGTATCGAGTCATGTGTAGATGAACGGGAAGTTCTAGATCTAGGTCGCATGTCCGTGGTTACTCATTGACATAATGCATTTTCAACGTTAGGGCAAACTCATGTTTTCTGAGAGATTTGAACCTGAGCCAATCGATTACAAGGTTTAAGGTTTCACAACTACAACCCATATGAATTACGCACATGAAGGGGACACTAGATGGTAACCAATGTGGTTATCAAGCCTTATGTGATAACTGAACCTCCAGAACACGTGAATTTAAGATTGGAGATACACCTAACTGAAGATTGGTAAGAAGGTTGAAAATCCAGGTACAGATCTCTCGATTGGCTAACTGCAAACATAGATTGGTGGGCACTACTTTAAGAGACCAAATAAAGGAGAATGTACAATTTAGTCACCTAAATACCATGGTGTGGTCGAGGATAAAATGCTGTCGGTGATCATTTCGAAATGTTCTCATACAGTCAGGGGTTCATCTAGACCAGGAAAATCCTATGCTTTACCTTCACGTAGGGGTGGGTGTTTCCACAAAAGTGAGAGAGTAAAAGGCGTACGTCCCTTATGCCGAGTGCGTTTAATCTTCCAGCTTCGCCCTACTTCAGCTAATATAGGTTTATTGTCTGTGTTACGTATTCAATTTCATGACTATTAGTAAGCAAATATGAGTGTGAAATCTGTTCTATTCTATTAAATTTTCTTTGTAAGACGGAGTTGTATGTATTCCGAGTTTTTTGTCTGGTACAGCGATTTGTTTGGTAAAGTTTTTAGGTAAGTAATAAGACTTTCATTCATCAAACTCCTATCTTTTTTTAAACGTCTCCAGCTGTTAGTAGTTATTGAACCGATGATAAATCGGCTTACCTATTGTGGCCTATCAAATATTGGGTTTGATGTGAACTGGTTTATTACAAACCTTTAAATTTTGTGCCCTATCATGAAAATGTCATTTGTATGTGTTGTCTTCTACTTTTAGTCAATAATGCGATGGTTGTTCTCTAAGCGTTCTGGTTCCCAAAAGGCTTTGGTAGAAAATAAAGTAAAAAATAGTAAAAAAACCACTATTGTGGTCATTGTTTTGCACTACAAAGAGATCGAATATAAACTTTAAACGACCTTTACGAGAGGGTGCAGATATTCAAAAGTCAAGGCTGGTTCAACAACGTCGTAGATCAAGCATATATAATAAGTTGGATATATATCGTTTATATTCAAATGAACTCTTATCAAATTCTACAGAAAAGTTAAAACACAAAGATTCACCAAAATACCCAGATGGACTGCCGATTGCTTTTTGTCCAACTTGTCACACCAATGTAGTTCCAGTGTTCGAAAAGGATGCTTGCCAGAACCAAAGGGCCGTGTATGATGAGACTGAAGACCAAAAACTTGAAGAATCAAATGAATATGCAGTTTATGCTATTTATGAGCCGGTTTATGAGAATAGCTTGCTTTCCATTGATACTGACATGGAGTATGGAGCAGATGAATGTGCAGAGGTCAACCCCGTTAGTAACCTTGAAACACCACTATACCTCTTACCAACAGAACCGTTAGCATTTAGTACAACTAATCGTAAAGCTTTTGACATGGATGATAGCCAAACAGTTTACGATGAAGTGGCCTCAGATAGTGAAGACGATTCATGGGATTCACTTTCATTAAGATACTATGATGCTCAACGCCCGTCTGTTCTGGAGAAGCACAACAACAAAGCATTCCGTAAACGTGGTGCTTATCCTGAATCTGATTCTTATCAACAAATGAAAAGGATCAGACGGGAGGTGTTCGTTTGTGAAGAATGACTACTTTTCATGTTTTTTACATGTTTATATGTCAACACATGTTACATTCATATTTTTTTAATACTTGGTGGCAGCATTTATATTGGAAAATCCACAGCATTTTAATATTCTCACTAATTCACACATTTCTACTTGGTGTTTGTTACTAGTTTTTATATGGTCGTCAACTTTTGCTATTAAACCTTCCGGTTCATCAATATTATTTTTTTGATTTCGTTCTTGAGGTATCTAGTATATCGAAGTCTGTTAGAGTTGTAATCTAGGTAGGAAACTAAAATCATTTGGCAGATTGATCAGTAAAGTAGGATGTCAGCAACATTGTGATGGAGTTTTCAGTTGGGGGACATCTACTGTAGGTTACAAGCCTTGCTCCAACTCGTATTACCAACACAGAGGAAAATGAAGACGAGGAAACTAAAGCAGTAGAAAGCGATACTAGTGGTAACAAACGCACAAGACATCATCAATATCAACGGTCCGAGTTGACACATCTCATATCACTACATCAAGTGAACAAGGCAGTGACGTGCAAGATGAAAAGAAGAAAATTCAGTCAAAAGAAATACAAAGTACGATAAGAGAGAAAGGAAGAATGAGAAAATGTTAAGATTCGGTATAGCGTCGTTAAGATGAGGATAATGTGTGTATACATCTACACCACTGACATCGGTTCTTAGCCATGTCATCACCTAGAGTCAGTCTTCAACCACTGGTTTCCCTTGTGCTGCGGACCTCAACCATCTAGTCTGCATCCCACCACATGGCTCAAACCAACAGTCAACGACTTTATACATTGGTGTCACGTTTTAATCTGTAGCCCCACTACCGGACCCTTTTACCAGCCTGAACCTAATTCGGCTAACACTGTGTGACGAGGCAGACGGTGACTAGGTATACGCAACACACGTCCCAGTCAGCCATCTCAGTCGATGAAGGTTCACAACATCGTCAACAGACTTACCTCTTCTCCCTAAAACTCTACACCTGACGTCTGGGCTACTTACGTAGTGACACCATGGAATACGGCTTATACTACGCACAAGACAAAGGAATTAAAAGGGCTATTAGGTTGGTGACAACCAAGTGAGCTTTTTGTATCTGTAGCGAGATTTTTTTAACGATTAACCCACCACGACTAACTCTACTTCCCAGGTAATTGAAGCGGTTGTAGGGATGCGTGTTACAATTCCGTAACGTTTGATCAACCCTACTTAACTTGATGTGCTCTAGTACCTGCTTAACCAGTACTTTACCTAACGTGTAAGTACTGATGACAAAACACAAATCAAAAGACCTGATACGCAATGTATTTAAGGTAAATGTAATAATAATGAATGAGGGAAAAGTTTAATCAACTTATCTGGCTTGTAAGGCTGAACTAGGGACTCGGAGTACGTACGTGGTAATCAGCACAATGGAGCGCAAAAATGGCGTTCAAGCCTGCTCGGATGCATGCTCGTTAAAACAAAACGTAAAACACCCTAAGCATCCGGAGGCAAGCTAGAGATTTATTTAGTTAAGTTAATTTAAACTATTTATTTTAGCCCTAGTTATATTTTGGTGCCAGGAAGGTGCACTACACGGTCAACGCACTGTCACTTCACTTCCTATTGTTTAGATAAGACACCACCGAATTTTAGTCCCAGAGCAACAGTCTCCATTTGGGAGATGAGAAACACCAAACATTCTCAAATTGCCATTGAAAATAAATCTTCACCTGATAGTAGTGTCATCTAAGTACCCTAGGTCTACCAACGAGTTCCATGTGAGGTCAATACCAGCAAAATCAGATGAAGAGACGGAGACCTCCAAAAGTACCTCTGTGATGAAATTAGATAAGAGTGCACATTCTTCGTGGACGTCATTTGACGTACACAACTCACCAGATATCTTATCTTGAGCTTTATTCCGTGGTGTCACCATGTGAGTAATGCAGAAGTCAGGTGTAGAGTTTTGGGGAGAAGAGGTAAGTCAGTCGACGAGGTTGTGAACCTTCATCGACTGAGATGGTTGGGACACGTACTACGTATGCCTAGTCACCGATTGCCTCGTCACACAATGTTGGCTGAGGTGGGTCCAGGCTGGAAAAAGGCCCGAGGTAGCCAGACTAAAACATGGCACCAATGTATGAAGTCTCTGACTGTTGGTTTAAGCCATGTAGGACGATGCAGACTAGGTGGTTGGGGTCCACGGGACAAGAGGAACCAGTGGTTGGAGACCCTAGGTGATCACATGGCTCAGAACCGATGTGAGTGGCGCAGATGTATACACACATTATCCTCATCTTAACAACGCTATACCGAATCTCACCATTTTGTCACTCCTCTTTCCTTTCTTCTCGTACTTTATATTTCTTTTGACTGCATTCACTTATCTTCATCCTTCGCCTCACTACCTCTTTACTTGATGTGCTGATATGAGGTGTGGCAACTCGGACCGTTACGCAGTAATGCCTGGTCCTATGTTGATAATGATGATTTAATATCCTCATAGGTCTTCACGTACAGAGCTTTCAACAAAGTGATGGACTTATGCGGCATTCATTTCAGTGAAATAGACTACCATAAGACTTCTCGATCGACGGAGTCGACTGTCTTATTCAGGTCGAGAAATATAGTGTCAGGCGTCTGTAGGTTAGTCTGTTCCGGAATGTAAATATCTGATTGATACACCCACAGCCAGGTCTGAAGCCCGCCTGGTTTTCTCAGGTTTGCTGTTCCCGAGACCCATTTGGATTTATGATGATTATCGAACCTTAGACACTGTTATCGTGAGACCGATTACTCTGTAGTTATCACAAAAGGAATTCTCACCTTTCTTGAAGGTGTGTAACTCCATCCCAAACCTCGAAACTGTTCACATTATACTTCCCATTACATTTGATGCTTTTATAACAACAATGATAAAACAATAGTGACTTTATGTTACCCAGCTTCACAATTTGTATCGTCAATCACAAGTTATGATAAAGAATATGCTCGACAATTGATCAGAAGGCAACCATCAACAGTGGGGTTAACCACAATGTGTATCTGAACATAACCGGAAAAAGTTATGCCTGAATCGAAAAAGATAAATCTATTTCAAAACTGCATCGAAAATTAAAGTGATTTTTTAGAAACAAAAACTCCACTTTAAGGGATAATAACGCATTAGAATAGTTTGAATATGTATGTATATACCTATATAACGTTTTGAAAAACAGGTTATCCAACTGTACAGCATAAAAATGATAATATTAATCCACGGAAGTATTGGTGTATTATTAAACGCAAAGTGAAGAGATGCGTTTCGTGTTACCGACATAATTCCTCCTGAAGAGATTTCTGCACATAAAAAGTGGGTAGAACAACAACTCGAAATGTGCTACAATGTGAAAGAATTTCGAAGGTCATGCATGCACTATATGTATACGGGGAAACAATGTACAGGGAAGCTCCAGTGCAATAAGTCTTCATTATTCAGCCAGGAGACACAGAAGAAAAAAAACTTATTCTACGGATGGTGAAGACAGAAGTGAACCAAGTCGATTATGTATTTCTAAGGCTTCTTTTAATACATTCCCAAGACGTGTGTGCAATGATCGAATGGTGTCCTGAGAAGCACGATCTATCCATATGGGTCTGTTCTGATTCCCTTGTACCAACGATGGATGAATAGTTCCAACTGGCTTAGGTTTGTTATTGATGCTTAACTCGTTGATCCACTCACCGTTATTGTTAACACCACCACCGTTCAATCCATCTAGATCCAAGCGACCAATACCACATCGTAAGTCTGGAATATCAGCATCCATCGGCACTCCTGGCTATTGGATCAAAGTGAAAAGAAAACTGTGTTTAGGAAATTACTGCATATTATGAGGATGGGAAATCTCGCCTAGGTAAGAAGTTACTAGCCGGTCCTAACCCCGGATAAAGAGGGAAGGTTGGGCATACGGCCAGCAACCCTACCCCGTAAAACTAATCCAATCAATACAGAAACTTCAAAGCACAAAGAAAATATAAAACATAAAAACAAACTTATTCCTCACTGGAATCGGATAGGTGAAATGATGCCGGTTGGTGAAAACCTTCGTCAAGCCAATTGGCCAATGTGTCTTCCGTCCTCTCGGTGAAAGCAAAGGTGAGGATGGGAAAATAGAATGTCTGAACAATGTTTCAACCTAGCAAGGCTGCCCAGACTGCAAAAGAGATGAGAAGGTGTGGCACAGAAGTGCTAGGAATCTGCGGGGAATCTTCAGATGGAATGGGAGTGGACTCTTCAAACTGTCAACCGGAGAGTCAGTAGTCTACTCCGATATTGTCACCCACACGACAACCACGAGCACACTGAGTTTTCCAGTGGCTATCATGACGTCCCCCTCCCAAAAACATCGAAGACTCTCTCTCTCTCTTTCATGCAGTGGGAACCAATCTCCTCCTGCACGATCAGGATCATGACAGCAAGATGGATTCAAATCAAAAGGAAGGAAAGTCACAATCATAAAGTGCTACGCTGCGCTGTGCACCTACAAATAATGCAGATCAAGAGGAGAAGGAGGAATCCTACAGACAACTGCAATCAGCACTGGACAAGAACCGAGACGTCAACGGCGACATAAAAATTGATTGTAATGGGTGACATGAATGCCAAAGTGGGAGCAGAAAACACAGGACGAGAACCGATCATGGGTCGTGAAGCACTCGGTGAAGTGATGAACGAGAATGGAGAACTGTTTGGAGACTTCTGCACATTCAACGATTTGGTGGTTGGAGGCAGTGTGTACAAACACAAGGATATTCACAAGGCAGAGACACGCATTTCACCAGACACCAGAACACACTACACTAAAAATCAGATCGACTCCATCTCAATGTGAAGGAAGTGGAGACGCAGTCTACTGGACACAAGGTGAAGAGGGCGAGCAGATGTAGGTTCACACCACTCACTGTCTAGTGCAAGGAGACTAGCTTCAAAATCAAGTTGAAAGCCTTCAATTCAAGGAGGCTGGTGATAGACCACAGTTCGAGTACAACATCCAGAAATTGAAGGAGGAAACTACAATGGACATCTTCATTTCAGCCATCAGGACAAAACGGGAGATATTGAGCGACATCCGTGAAGGAACCTGGGTGGAAGAAGACTGGAAGTGTGTGAAGGCGATGTGGAAGGGAACCTGCATAACCGTAATGGGGACAGAAGAAAAAACAGGACAATGAATGGATGTCGACGGACACATGGAGTCTGATAGAGCAGGGAGAGGAAATGGCGATGATGAAGCAGAAGATGAGCCAGTGCGGTGCAGTGCAGGGATGAACAAGGAAAAGAGGAACTGAGTGCGACGTACAAAACATTGGACAAAGAAGTGTAGAAGAGTGTGGGGAAAGACAAGACACTTATATGACACTTGCAAGTGAAGCAGAACATGCTGGAGGTAGGAGAGACAGAGAGCTGACAATATTATATCAAATAAGCAGGCTACTATCTGGGAAGAGATCAACGCAGATGAAGCCAATGAAAGATAGTGAAGGAAACTTAGTTGCCAAAGAGGAGAAACAAACGAAACAATGAGCTGATCAATTCAAAAAACTCTTGAACCGACCACCACCATCTGCAACTCGTCCAGAAATACCACCAGCAGCCCATCCACAAAATTACCAGTGAACACAAGCGCTCCGACAAAAGCTGAAGCCTGAATGCCATAAAGCTGCTGAAATCCGGGAAAGCAGCAGGACCAGATGTAATTCCTCCAGAAGCACTGAAAACAGACACAGAAAAACAGCGGACACGCTCACACCACTATTGCAGAAGGTTTCGAAGGAAGGAAAGGTACCTGCCGAGTGGAAGAAGTGCTAACTTGTCAAATTCCCGAAGAAAGGAGACCTAAGTGTTTGCAAGAACTGGCGCGGAATCATGCTCCACTTCCGTCCACCCCAAGCAAAATATTAAGCGCCGCATCATCCTGGTGAGACTAAAGGATGCGCTGGATTCAAAACTACGACCGGATTCAGGAAGAACAAACCATGTGCGGATCAAATTACGACACTACGCATCATCATAGAGCAGAGTATAGAATGGCAGTCAACTCAACCCCAACTTCGTCGACTTAGAAAAGGCCTTCGACAGCATCGACTAAGGAGTAATTTGGCAGCCGCTTCAACACTGCTGAGTATTACAAACCTTTATCAACCTCATTCAACAGCTATATGAAAAGGCTACATGTCAAGTGATCCACGATGGGAAGCTCAGTGATGTTCCGTTTGAAGTGAAGACAGGAGTACGACAAGGCTGCCGCCTACTATCATCCGTGATCTTGCTGATTGTGGTCTACTGGATTATGCAACAAACAGTGAGGAGCGAGAAGATGGAGATACACTGACTGGAACGATGAAAAGACCCCAGAAGATTTAGACTTCGCCCATGATGATTTATGCCTAATGTCATTGTCGCACAAACTCGAAGATCTACAGATGAAAGCTAACAAGTTGACAGAAGAGGTAAGGCAGCGAAGACGGGACTTCAACTGAACGTAGACAAGAGAGAGGTGATGGAGATACCTAACCAACAACAACGATAACAACAAGTACCAACCAACATCAACGGGAGAAGTCTGAAAGAAGCAGTATCTTTCACCTACCTAGACAGCATCGTTCCAACTACAGGTGACGGCACAGATGAAGACGTCAAAGCCAGGATCAAAAAGACAGCAAGACAGCCCTTCCTTCATTAACCTGAAATCAGTGTGGAGATCTACTGCACTGAGCATAATGAACAAGATCCGGATTTTTAACACCAATGTCAAGTCAGTGCTCCTATATGGTTCAGAAACTTGGCGCGTTACGAAAAGCGTTTCCAACAAACTAAAGACATTCATCAACAGCTGCCTACGCTCATTCGATACTGAAGATCAGATGGCCGGAATAATAAGAATAAGCAACAAAGAACTCCCCTTGGAAACGAACTAACCAAGAACCCATCGTCCAACAAATATGCGGAAGAAAGTGGAGATGGATTGGCTTGGGGATACACTGAGAAGACCATTCCTGGACATCACGAGCCTGGCCAGGCCAGTCCCTCGAGTGGAATCCAAAGGGGAAACGACTAGTTGGGTGTCCGAGGGTGACATGAAGGAGATCGTGTGAGGAAGAAATGAAAGCTTGTGGGCAGTGGTGGAGCTAGGTTAAAAAGACTGTAGAGAACAGAGTGAAATGGAGACGTGCTACTGAATCCCTATGTTCCCCTGGGAATCTAAGAGAAATAATAATGAGGATGTGAAAGTTTCAAACTAATATAATTATTCATCTGTGGGGATTTATTAATTTGAAAGTAATTTTCATCATTATGAACTGGTATCGCCGTATGGCGCTATGGCTGAGGGGTTCACGGGGATGACTTTCAAACAAACATGAAGGAGATCGTGTGAGGAAGAAATGAAAGCTTGTGGGCAGTGGTGGAGCTAGGTTAAAAAGACTGTAGAGAACAGAGTGAAATGGAGACGTGCTACTGAATCCCTATGTTCCCCTGGGAATCTAAGAGAAATAATAATGAGGATGTGAAAGTTTCAAACTAATATAATTATTCATCTGTGGGGATTTATTAATTTGAAAGTAATTTTCATCATTATGAACTGGTATCGCCGTATGGCGCTATGGCTGAGGGGTTCACGGGGATGACTTTCAAACAATCGGTCCAGGGTTCGAACCCCGCTCCACCTACTGCGGTTTGTACAGCCAGGTAGTATCATCAATAGCCCTCACACAATATAGATATGGTGCACTCCCTACTGCACGAATATGCACAAGGTTGCTGAGTATATTCCGACGGCGCAAATTGACAGAATTAGGAATTAGTGGAACATTAAATTCCAACTCAATGACTGAATGAAAACTTACAGACCTGGGTTGGTTCTCCTAAAGAGTCATGGGTGCATACTTCTGGAGGGCTTAAAAATTACGATGAAGCAGCTGTCTAAGGTTTTCAAGAATTCTCCAACTGATGTCAGTCTGTGAGGAAGACTGCTTCTATGGTAATTTCAAAATTCGTCGGATTAGCGTAATCGTTTCCAATGAAGCGTATTACCTGAAAGTCAGTTTTAATCAGAAGCCAAATTCGCAAACTTCCTGATAATCCATACATTGCCAAACGGCTTACACTCCCGAAATAACACTCAATCATTGAAAGTTAACTGTTTTTCTTGGGTGGAAAATCATTTTTACAATTGTTGTAGCCTGTAGTCCATCTGATCATATGCAATGAGTCAGGCTACAAAAACTAATAAAGGGAGCCTTGTTACCTATTACAAACGCAAACTGAGAAGGGGAATCATCTAGCTACTCAGCATGAGTGTGCACACCGGAAATCAGCTGACTTTAAAGACAAACTGGAGTGACTAACTAGGCAATATCTATACTTTGATACAATTGAATATTCCCATTTAGACATTTAGAAAAGACTGATTGAGCGAAGAAATATATTCCTTTTCAATTAGGTCTTCATCTTGGGCTCTACACTAATATATAGGTTTACAATTCAGTCAAATTACCAATCACGTGGTGATGTTTCGGAAATAATGGTGTAAATAATCAATGGAGTTACTAAAATTGGAAATATAAATATTGATAGAAACAAGAAGGGGAGGAGGTGTAAAAAGTAAACCTAGAAGTTACATCATGTTGACGGCCACGGTAATGAAAGTGGTCAAACAAACTTCTTTTGGATACAAAGGCTAGGCTTGTGAAAGTGGATTGCAATCGCCTCTGTTATATGAAGTCAGCGAGTGCGTAATCCATGAGGTAAATTAATTGGAATGTGATGGATGAATTTGAAGGCTTTTCTAGTGACCACTTGATGTCCTGTATCAACTAAGTGTGAAAGTATGGAGCTCTTTATAGTTCTAATTTATCCCTTGTTCAACCATGATGGGTGGTGCTCAGAAATTCGACGATGGAACTGCCTCATTGTACGCCCAATGTAACTCGCTCCACAGGAGCAGCTGAATTGATAAATGCACATAGAAGTGGCAGAATCAGGCAGTTCGTCTTTTGAAGCCTCTCCACAAAGAAGTTGTGAAGTACAGTCTCAAAGATACCTTTGAATTTGTCAGAAAGATTGAGGATCTGGAAGTAGATAATAAGTTAATGATTTCATGTGATGTTTCATCTCTTTTTACTAACGTTCCTTTAATGGAGACAGTAAACTTTATTTGCAACGAACTCACGAAGCACGGCATGGAAATAGATATTCCAGTCTCTATATTGAAAGAACTACTTCTGAGGTGTACAATGAATGCACAATTTCTCTTCAACAATGAACTCTACCGGCAATCTGATGGTGTTGCTATGGGGTCATCCCTTGGCCGGCTCTCAGCAGATTTTTTTCTGGCAAAACTTGAGAATGGTCCACTGAACGATACTATTAGCCGTTTGGAGTTATATTGTCGTTACATGGGTGATACCTTTATAGTTCTCAAAAGTGAGACTGATAAGAATGCTGTTCTGAATAAGTTCAATAGCGTTCACCCGGCGATCAACTTCACAATCGAAGAGGAGAAAAATGATAGTATCCCATTAACTTATTATCTACTTCCAGATCCTCAATCTTTCTGACAAATTCAAAGGTATCTTTGAGACTGTACTTCACAACTTCTTTGTGGAGAGGCTTCAAAAGACGAACTGCCTGATTCTGCCACTTCTATGTGCATTTATCAATTCAGCTGCTCCTGTGGAGCGAGTTACATTGGGCGTACAATGAGGCAGTTCCATCGTCGAATTTCTGAGCACCACCCATCATGGTTGAACAAGGGATAAATTAGAACTATAAAGAGCTCCATACTTTCACACTTAGTTGATACAGGACATCAAGTGGTCACTAGAAAAGCCTTCAAATTCATCCATCACATTCCAATTAATTTACCTCATGGATTACGCACTCGCTGACTTCATATAACAGAGGCGATTGCAATCCACTTTCACAAGCCTAGCCTTTGTATCCAAAAGAAGTTTGTTTGACCACTTTCATTACCGTGGCCGTCAACATGATGTAACTTCTAGGTTTACTTTTTACACCTCCTCCCCTTCTTGTTTCTATCAATATTTATATTTCCAATTTTAGTAACTCCATTGATTATTTACACCATTATTTCCGAAACATCACCACGTGATTGGTAATTTGACTGAATTGTAAACCTATATATTAGTGTAGAGCCCAAGATGAAGACCTAATTGAAAAGGAATATATTTCTTCGCTCAATCAGTCTTTATCTATATCTTGACTGAAAGGGTAGATTTTCATCAAATAAAGATACTTAATTGCCTATTTCAGTGTTTGTCAGGGTGACCTTGAAAAATCAGACCAAGTTATTCACGTGTTCGAGCAGGATTAAAAGTGAACATGATAACTTGATCTTTTTTAAGACGTGTAGTAGTTGATGTCTCAGTATGACTTAGTGAGTGAAACGATTTTCAACGGCTACATAACAAAACAGAGAATTGCACTTTACTATATATTAGGAGTTAGGGAATAGAAGTCTTTGAACCCAAATTTCTGCATTGTTGACAATCACATACAGTTAGCGTTTGCAAGACTAAACTATACTGACCGTTGCACAGAGGGATGCCTCGCTATTTAGGTGTTTACCAGGTTATACACGACTGAATAATGTAAACGAATCTGTCACCACTAGCTACCTAGCGAAAATTTTGAAGGTCGATTGCGATATATCATAACCGATTTAAGGACGAAGGGGAGAAAAGTTTGCTAATTCATGGGATGCAAATACCTCGTTTCGCCTTTTGTTTAGCTTGCGAAACAAAAGTCTGGATACAGCTTAGAAAGTGCAATGTAGTTCAAAAGTGAAGGAATGCAAGAAATGACAATTAAATGGGAATGTCAAAATTATACTTTGCACTTACCAGTTGCAGAACTTAATACAGGATATAGCCGTTTATTTTCTGAAACATAATCGTAAACGCTCGGCAGAGAACTCACCATATATTAACATTAAGTGATATCAGATCAAGGTATGGGGTTCTAGAAACCGAAGATAACCTTAGTAATACGCATCCAATGCCAATGATTTAACTACTCATATTTAGAAGGCTGTTGTCATGCTTTCCACGGATTAGGATTTAGTCATATGGAACTTATCATTTTCTCCCTATTTTGCTAACTGTAATTTGCACGCGATTTGCTATGAAATCATCTCGAATGTAAGCTAACAAATTTTATATAGTAATTACTATTAAATGTAGAAACACTTATTACTATTACGGGAATGCCAGACAAGTTTTCTAACTCTCGGGTGCGTTTATTCAGATGAGTCTGACAGTTATTCAAGACGCTACAACTGGATAGCAGTATGCTGAAACTTTCTGTTCAATCTGATAAAGGTGAATATTTACCAACGAATAGAGCTTAGAAAAGACTAGAAGTAGATTTTACAAACCTGAGAATAGAAGAATCGTAGAGAAAGATTGTATTGGAAAAATTTATCCAAATTCGAGGTGTGAAAAATCTTACTACTGATGCAAAACTGAAAACAAATGAACCACTCGCAGAAATTTTAACAGTATGCGTTGAACGTTAACTGGAACTTTCTAAACGGGAGATACAAAAGTTTGATAAGAATCCAAAGGTCTACTGATCCTTTATCAAAGAGTTTCAAGCTACTATTGAGCAAAAAAAACACAACGACTGGATACGACTTAATTATCTGGTCCACTTCTGTATAGGAAAGTCCAAGGAAGTTCATAGATGAACGCCTTGATATAGCACGTAAAAGATACGGAGAATTTAGAGTGAATAAACCAGTTAGACGAAACTCAGTGTTACAGTAAACTAGCTGAAGCGTTAAGAAAACTTTTTTTCTTTAAAACGTGGTGTTAACCGTGGGAACAAAGTGGATATAAGGTGCACTGAACTTAGGTGTCATTAATTGTTGGGTTTCTTTCTTTCTTTCTTTGTGCGCTTTACAGGTGCCTCTTGCACACTTTAACCAAAGATTCTTTAGTGGACGAGATACAATTACTTATAATGTTCTGCTGCCATTCAGATCGGATTCATATTTGAGCTGCTTGAAGGTAGCTTTAAAAGTTTGGATCTTCTGGCTGAGGCAGGTTAAGCCTACCATATCGTCGTTGTTAATGGGTGGTCCATCACCAATGAAAGTTATAGCTATCATGTGATTCTGCCAAAATATCTTTCTCAGTATTTCCTTAGCCATCTCTAGATCTTCTGTCCCATTCATAATAGAGCAATGCTCGATAGCTTTGGGATGAGAAGTCCTGACTCGACATTCCGTGTGAGTACGATCATGTAGTAGTAACGCGTCATGAATTCACACTGTAGACGGGCAAAACCCTTAGTGATTGAAGTGAAATAAAAATCTGGTCAGCAGTCAGATGTCGTACCTCAGTTGGTAGATCATGGGGTCAGAAACCCCGGTGGTCGCTGGTTCGAATTCCGTATCAGCCCAAATTTTCGCTTCACCTTCAATCATCACTCAGTATCAATGATACTTATTTCAGTCAATCAGCATAATTGTGTGCATACCTTTTAGTCAGACTAACCTCAATATTTGGATAATTCGTAGGATAAGATGATCCACCATTCAACGAACCACCCATCACTGGCATTGCATAGCGCTTAAGATGACTAATCTCAGCTTCTAGTCGTCTTACTTGTGCTTGAGCTGATTTCAGCTGATTTTGTACAGATTGATTATTTGAATAGACATCATTTTGTGCAGGAAGAGAGGCTGAAGTAGCATGGTTTGTTGTTGTTGTTGTCGTTGCTGTAGGAACGACACCTTGAACTGTAGGTAATGGAGTAGAATTGATGTGTTGTTGTGAACTTGGTAGGTTTTGTAGAGTACTATGAGTAATACTATTCATACATGTTGATGTCAATGTCGCTGAGGATGGGTTGACTACACCACTACCATTCTGTATAGGAATTTGTAGACTGTCTGATGTCAAGTTGAGTGAATCTGACTATTTTTAGAGCAAAGAGAGAGATGTATAAGATACAAGTGTAAGTATATCAAAGAAAGTAAATAAATTAAATCAAATACACTATAAAATTAATTCATTTATGCAAATCAAGTAAATATTCTCATGTTGATATTTTCAGAAATATGAACTCATCGCTATACAAAGTATGCTATTATTCATAATATTCAACAGGTAGATACAGAAAATTCAATTAGATCTTGCTAAAGCGTATCATCACCTAATACACGTATAATTAATATCTAAGCATATACGTTAAGACTTCAGTGAAAAAAATCATGTGTGGATCAAATTACAACCCTACGCTACGCATCATCACAGAACAGAGCATAGAATGGCAACGACTTTGAAAAGGCCTTCGATCGAGGCGTCGACTGAGAAGTGATTTGGCAGCTGCTTCAACACTACGGCTTCACTGACAAAAACTTTTATCAACATCATTCAACAGCAGCTATATGCTATATGAGGATGCTACATGCCAAGTGACTCACAATGGAAAGCTCAGTGGTGTTGCGTTTGATATGAAGACAGGAGTAAAACAAGGTTGACACCTACTGTCATCACCGATCATCTTCCTGATTATGGTCAACTAGATCATGCAACAGACAACTGTGAAGAACGAGAAGAGGGGAATACGCTGGTTGCACCGATGAAAAAACCACAGAAGAAGATTTGCATTTCGCCAACGATGACGGTTTATGTCTAATGTCTTGTCCCAAAAACTCGAAGATCTACAGGAAAAAACTAACAAGCTGACAGAACACGCGAGGCAGAGAAGGAAGACGGGACTTCCTCCAGGTGAACGTAGAGAAGACAGAGGTGGTGAAGATACACAACCACCACCACCACAACCAACAACAACAAGCACCAATCACCATCAACGCGAGAATTCTAAACAAAGTTGTCTCTCATCTAACTACCTACCTACCTATCTAGACAGCATCATCTCAACTACAGGTGGTGGTGGCACAGATGAAGACATCAAAGCTACCATCGGGAACACAGCAAGACAGGCCTTCATTAATTAATCTGAAATCAGTGTGGAGATCTACTGCACTCCACTGCAATCCACTCCACTCACCATAAAGCGTGAACAACATCCGGATTTTCAACACTAATTTTGTCAGTCAAGTGAGTCAGTGCTTCTATGTGATGGTTGAGAGACTTGTCGGCGCGTTACGAAAAGCATTTCCAACAAACTGCATACATGCATCATCAACAGCTGACGCCTACGCTCCCTCACTCGATACTGACATTGAAGATCGATCAGATGGATGGCCAGAATAATAAGAATAAGCAGCAAGGAACTCACTGTGGCTGGCTGGCTGGCTGGCAACGAACCAACCAACCAGCTATCGTCCAACAAATATGCAGAGGAAAATGGAGGTGGATCGGGCACACACTGAGAAGACCACTTGGGGACATCACGTGCCAAGTCAGGTCAGTCCCTGGAGTGAAAAGCGCATGGGAAACGACGAGTTGGGAGTCCGAGGATGACATGGGTGAGATCGTATAAGAAAGAAGTGAGAGCTTGTGGGCAGTGGTTGAGCCAGTTTAAAGAGACTGCAGAGAAGAGAATGAGATGGTGACATGCTACTGAAGTTCTATGTCCCACTAGGAACCAAAAGGACAAATAATAATAAGAATACATGTTATAGGATAGGAATATCGTCAACTATTGTGATATGTTTTGGTAAGCAACTTGAAGAAATGACTGTTGAAAGGTGACTTCATAAAAAGACAGTAAGTACTTCCTTGTACGCGAATATGAAGCTAAAGGTCGAAGGATGGGAAGGGATAAGGTAAAAAAGGGAAATCATTACCACATGTAATCAGTAGTAGTGTACTCAAAATAGGTGAGTACATAGGGTTGAACACCTTATGGAATTTGATCGTAGTCACATGACTGAGTACAATGGAAATATGTATAATCAGAAGGGAAATGATTACCTAGAAGATTTATTTCAGCTTGGTCAACAACGTTTGCGGGTTGATGTCTCCCTCTACTCATATAACAGTTAGCGCTCACACTACTAAAATTCCTTCCCTACACATGCTAACACTGCATTCTCTCTTTCCAATAATTTTGATTTCCACAGGAAGTCATTGGTTTTTCCACTTCGCGTTTCACTTTGCAGTATGATCCCAAATAATATGAACTTAGTGAATATTCAATGTGATTTCGAATGCGTCAATTTTATCCAAGTAGTTTTGAAAGATCAACTGATTTTATAAAACTCTTTGTTTAGGTTCAAAAACGATCCAGGCAGATCACAGAAAGTTCCGGTACCAAAGAAACATTGGTGTTTTCTATGTTCTTGGTTAGCGTGAATAGCATTGAAGTTCATCGAACAAAGTATTAGGTGTTTTACTGACTAAGAAAATCAACGTAGAACCACAGACACAGGTACATCACTTCAAGTTGCCACACTTTACAGTATTACACAAAGGACAGAAGAAAAGAAAAGGAGTGATATCAAAGTAGAAAAAGTTGTATGAGAGAATGAACAATCTGAAGATAAAGGTCAGTTAGAATATTCAAGCCTTATTTGTCAAGGAGTGAAAACATTGGGCTAATGTCACCGATTTTCAGCCATGTCACCAACAGTCCTCAACCACTGATTTCTTTCGCCTCAAGGACTCCAAACAGGGAGTCCAAATCTCCCAACATGACTCAGACCAAGAGGCAAAGACTTAAACGACTGGTGCCACGTATTCGTTTGGCCACTCTGAACCCTCTTCTAACCTAATCCAGCGTATCCTAGCATGGGATATCGAGGTAGGTGATGGCTCGGCATGTGCAGTACATCTCTAAGCTATCTCGGTCGACTAAAATCAATAAACTCACCAGTCAACTTGCCTGGTACCCTTCACCTCGTCTTAACCCCGCTGACACTGATTTCACCAAACGCAAATAACACTACGGAGACGTCTGTGAGCAAAACCCTGTAACCGCTTCGTATCTTCTGCTTTCAATGGTAATTTCTCACAGCAGTACAACAGGTCAGAACGGACTTCTGCGCAGTTTACTCGTCCTTTGATGGATAGTCAGATATCTATCTCGAGAGTTGGCGCCACAGGTGACGCAAGTTGGCAAATGCATTCAAGTTGAGATTTTGTCAGCAATCCGTCCGTTCGAGCTGATATAACTCCTACATGAAATCAATGGGGAGGGGGGTCTTAGGAGACTCGAAATGAGGTTTCGTTGGCTTTGATCGTTCGTAATGGTTACAGAGTGAGAGGTTGGGTAAGGCATAAGAGGCTTAATACTAGTATCAGGAGGTGGAGGCAAAGAAGATAGAGTTGAGGAGGATAGGTTATATTTGATTGTGTCTTGTGCACTACTGGAAGCGTGTGGGCAGCTGACACTTCCCGCCTGTCCACATGGTGGGAGGCTATTTCTTCTTGACGTACTTGAAAGAGAAGAAAAATTGTATGACTACAGAGCCCATGGAACATCTGCTTGAGATGTGTCACACACGGCCTTTTGTTAGATTTCTGAAGGTTTGGTTGTTCTAACGCCAGACAAAGACAGCCATACCACCGACACCCGAAGACCGTGATGCATGGTGGATGTGTTACTTTTAGAGTCGACCTTTTCTAATCCTTAGCCCTATTTGTTGGAAGGTCCCAGTTTGCATAAAACATTGTCATTGATTTGAGCATTTTTTAACTTCTCATTTTCACACCATTTTCACATCATGACTAGTTTATTTTCTGCTCCCATTTGTACATAATTCGCTGATTGGTTAATCCTTACTCTTACTATGCTAATGTCTCAATTTGCGTACAAGGTCATGTGTATACATACTCACGTATTTTTGGGTTAACTGATCATTATTCTCGGAGGAATAAACTCTCCCATGCAGCTTCGGTCTTCACTCTATTCGTCCCGGGCTGCAGTAGGTGACTCTTGTGTACGAAGTTACCTGTAAGTTAAGCGTGAGTATAATATCCATTCAGAATATAATGCCGTTCGGTTCAAGAGGCAGCAAGAGCATGGCACTGCTGGTCATTCGTAGGAAGCACTTTACTGCTGTCCCATCTCATCCAGCCAGTAACAGTACGACTTCATCCCCACGTATAGTGTAGTAATCTACACTACAACGGCAACTGCTTTTCGTCTTATCACTATCCAATATAAATTTCTGGCACAGTAGGGTCTCAATGGAACAAGCGTTTCACCAGCATAGCTCGTTGGGTCATTGTGACATGGAAGCCTGACCATCATGTCAAGGTAGTAGCTATCCGTCATTTTATTTTTACGCGAACTCAATTAATCATTACTCTAGTCAAATGTTACAACTCCAGTCACTTCGTTTAAAGCGACGACTTGAAATTGTCATAGTTTGGCAGTCTAGTATTATTGGTATGAGGTGATCATTGAGGGCGAAATAAAAACCTAGGTCATTGAAGGATTTGAACTAGTAGGCTATTAGCCAGAGACACAGGCTTTTATTTCATCTTCAATCTTCACCCCACAACATTAATAAGTGCATAGAAATTAACGTTGCAAACTGTTATTTAAAGTGTACATCCAAACAAAGTTGTAAGTGCTTTGCCTGAGTTAAGCTTTATTTACCAATTTTCAGGTCGCAACCTGAAGTGTTACTTTCCAAACTACTGGCTATTTGTAAGTAGGCAAATTATTTCGGAAAATATTTCTGTAGGACAGTGAATTAGTGCAGTACTGGTTGAAATAACTATGACAGTGAGTAACCGGCAAATGGTCATTAAAAAATCTAAAGCAAAGAAAATGATTCGAGAAATCTTTTCAGAAAAGCATTGGTTACATTTCTTCTCTTCAAGAAGAGGTGTACAGAAAAATTCCTGAACACAGAAAAGGCCTAATCTATGTGGGTATTGGGAATTGAAGCAATTTTCAATAACCTTTTATTTAAATGTCATGCTCTAGGAATGAATGAACAAGGCATAAATGTTATTTTGCACAAGTCAAAAATAATGTGACATTTCTTATTTTC